TTACTATTTTTTCTTTTTTTTTCTTTTTGGTCGAGTCGATTCGTGATTCGGGCGAAATAAATAAATTCGCGATCGAATCATGAATTATGGAGGAGGGGGGAGGGGTCAAGTAACGACGTTTACATGGCGCAAATAACGTGATCAGCCATAAGGGGCCGCGATAACCGCGACGATCCATTTTCATTCCCCGCGTGATTATTCTACGCTCGTCGACTCGTCGACTTTTCGACGAAGGGCAGCTGGTAATTGATGATCGCCACTGGTTTTCGCGGCCCATTATATCTCAGTTACCCACGCCACCGACAGGATGGCGGAGCGGTTTCAATCGTCCTTTCCTTTATGCGCAATAAACACCGTCTGATGATTAAATATTTCCACCTAAAGATCTTTAAATTAATCGTATCGGCGAAACGTTTTAATAGCACGAACGGAATTAAATTGAACAGTGATTTGATCTGGAAAAATATGAATGGCGAGGAAAAATTTGTTTGAAACAAAGTGAGTATATGATTTAATTTTATTTTAATTGTCAAGTAAAAAAAACGATTATTATCGATGCTTCGAATTTTTCTTATTATTAAAAGAATATACCGAGGATCGTTCTTCGACAGATTTTAATTTTTTTTTTTTTTTTTTACTCGAAATAATTTTAATCTAAACGCATATCGAAATTTATAAATTTAACACTATTATTTTTTAAATTGATCGCGAGGAATCGCGCGTGTCACGATACGATCCCAAATACAATTGAGACTTGTGAGTGTTCTCGATCCAGTGCAATCAGACACGAAATATCAATATCATTAACGATCAGATCGATCAAGATCCCTGGAAACAGGGACATTTCTACGAACGTATATACGTAAATAGGTAGAATCGCGTCGGTTCCTCGATAGAGGAGTCGAGGAGGGAGAGACGCACGTCAGAGGAGATTTTCACGGCACCCCTTGGCGCCCAGACAAACGACGGCCAATTTACGAGCAAAAGAGAAACTTCTTTAAACTCGGATTAAAATAAGCGACGAAAATGCCTTTTCTTCTCCCTCCTCCTCTTCCCTTTCGCTCCAACCTTCTCTCATATCCACCCTCGAAATTCATTTCGCCGCTGAGACATTATTTTATTCGTCGCTACGAAGGGGGAGGAAGGGGGAGGGGGACAGTTTTCGGTGACGTTAAATTGATGCAGGGTCAGCTATATTATACAATATGATTATACAAATGATCCATACTTGATATTTCGTTAAATATCCTCCGCGTATTTTTGGATCGTTGTTGGTACAAGTTTTATCAACGTCGTATCGATCGCAATTTCGTTAATAAATATTCTCCACCAATTTTGGATTATTCTTAATAAAAAATGGCGATCGAACGATGATGAATCTCGTAACTCTTGCGAATTCTTCTCTCAGAAGAAATTAAATTACATTTGTGTGGATAAGACACAAAAGAGAATCGTGGAAAAGATGGAAATCGAACGAAATCCGGAACACCGATACCGAATCCAATTCTTTCTCGTCCCACGCGTTTATAATAAAATTTTTTCACTCAGAAACATCCCCTAAACTCGAAATACGTAGCCGATAAATTCGTGCGAATTCTCAGAATCCCCCTTCATCCCCCTTCCTCCATACCAACACGCTTCTCGTGTACGCAGGGGAGGGGGGAGGAGAGATTTGTTCACACGTACTCGAGTTCCAGTTCGGGATTATAGTTTGAAAACCGAGCAGTGGAGCAGTGGCGATGCGCGGGAATCGTTTTGTTTTTTAATCAGATGGCGCGTATCGAGCGAGAACGGGACGGGCGCGGCGGCAGGATAGGACAATAACGACGCCCTCGGGAGCGTCCAGGATGAATCCCGGCTAACGCGATTAAGCGACGCGCAACTGATTTCGCCAACTGGTTGATTTACCTGGGAAACGCGTGCACGCCGGGCCGGCCATCCACAATTAAAATACATTAACGGAAAACGAATGGCCGGCGATCGAAGGTTCGACCTTCGCGTGATTGATGAGGAGAAAAGAAAATTTTTCCCTGCGCTGTGTATCAGGAATTTTTATTAACGAGTTGTATCGTATCGATGATGGAGTTGGAGTTGGCGTTGGATATATTTAAGTCGATTTGGATTGATTGTTGATTAAAATTGGCGAGTTTTGAAAATATCTTTGATCTAGGAGAAAATTATAAAAAGATAAAAATTATATTTTCGTAGAAAATCTATTTTAAGAGGTTAAGGAAATATGGTGAAATGTAATCATATCTTGTACTGGGCATACTATCCTAAATTTTATTAACGAGTTGTATCGTATCGATGATGGAGTTGGAATTGGCGTTGGATATATTTAAGTCGATTTGGATTGATTGTTGATTAAAATTGGCGAGTTTTGAAAATATCTTTGATCTAGGAGAAAATTATAAAAAGATAAAAATTATATTTTCGTAGAAAATCTATTTTAAGAGGTTAAGGAAATATCGTGAAATATAAATATAATAATAAATATAATAATAAATATAATAAAATATATTTTTGCAGAAAATCCATTTCAAGAGGTTAAGGAAATATGATAAAATGTAATCATATCTTGTACTGGGCATACTATCCTGAATTTTATGAACGAGTTATATCGTATCGATGATGGAGTTCGAATTGGACAATATTTAAGTCGATTTGGATTGATTATTGATAATTGGAATTGATTAAAATTGGCGAATTTTGAAAATATCTTTGATCTAGGAGAAAATTATAAAAAGATAAAAATTATATTTTTGCAGAAAATCTATTTTAAGAGGTTAAGAGGAAATATTGTGAAATATAATCATATCTTGTGCTATCCTGAATTTTATGAACGAGTTATATCGTATCGATGATGGAGTTTGAATTGGACAATATTTAAGTCGATTTGGATTGATTGTTGATTAAAATTGGCGAGTTTTGAAAATATCTTTGATCTAGGAGAAAATTACAAAAAGATAAAAATTATATTTTCGCAGAAAATCTGTTTCAAGAGATTAAGAAAATATTGTGAAACATAAGAAGAAATTCGTCTTAGAAGCTACGATAGATAAATTCAAAAATTCAAAATCTCGAAGAAAGATCCTTTTTTAAACTAAGAAATTAAAAAAATAGTACTACGAAATATAGAAGAAACTTTAACCTCTTATGTTTTTTTTTACATAAAAATCCTCTCACAAACGATAAAAAAGATCGCGAGATTTTTCTTTTCACCTTCCACCCACTTTTGAAAAAAAAATTAAACAAATATCCAAGTATAAAGTAAAATACCGTAAAAATATCATCAAGAAGCCTCTACCTTTTTCTTTACAACGTCTCTTCAAACCTAAAATAAACGGATAGATAAAAATCGGAAATGGAGAACGGTGAAAAGTGAAACTGATAATTAAAAAAAAAAAAAAAAAAAAAAAAAAAAAAAGAACGAAGCTTAAAGAAATATTATTGTAACGCGGGAGCGCGAGGTGGATGGTAATGGCGCCCGAGGGACGAGAGGGGTAACGCGATTAGACCGGGTGGAACGATTCGGCCAGCTTGATTTATCCGCGTACCAACGCGTTATTGCATTAGCGCCCCGGCGACGATGCCACTGGCCAGGGCATCGTCCCGGGGACGGAAACCCGTGGCCACCGCACAAGGTCCAGCCGTCCGTGAATCATCCCTAAGAATTATGTCTTGGACGATGGTGCCAGGACAAGCCGATTTGTCGGCTGGCCGTAGAGCTTCCTTAACTTCGTAACACCAGAGAAATGGAGGATTATAAGCGAGTTTAGAAGCGAATTTCCTCCTCCCTTCTTGCTTCGACCGTGGAGCAAGAATCGGATCGTTCGTTTCCTCGAGCAAGGAGATGGAGTTACAGTGAAAGAAACAAACTTTTTCGCAGAAATTTTTTTCTTCTCGAAAAGGGCGAAATGTATGAAAATGGTGAAAACGGTGTTTTGGATCGGATTACACGTGGTGAGAGAAAGAAAAGAAGAGGGGATCGAGAAGATGATGTTTTCTGAAAGTTTCTTCGTCGCATCGACGAAAGATTTCGTCCGGGATGAGCATCGAACCGCTTCTCTCTCTCTCTCTCTCTCTCTCTCTCGCCGGGGTAATAATGAGCAATAAACAACCCACGTTTCGATGATTCAAGTTTATATATTTTAAAGCTAATAGTATACAGTGACAATCATGTATCCAAGAAACAGTCTCGCCAAAATCGAGTCCATTTTTCAATTTAATCCGCGTCGAAATTTCGAATATCCCGCGTCGCTGCGAATTTTCGAAAATTCTCGAACCGGTTCCCTCCCCGAAGCTTGAGAAAAATGTAATCGAAATTTAATCAATAGGATAACTTTCTATGGTCGCGAAACCAGAGATCCCCATTCCCCGCTCGCTTCCAAGCCACCCCCCACTCTCTACTACGAATCTCCTCTGCTATTTATATTTATATTTATATTTATATTTATATTTATATTTATATATATATAATACTTTATATTGTATAATACACACTTCACCCCGAATCGTTCACTTTATACACATCGAGACTTCCGTTTGTACTTGTCGGACACGCAGACGTGACGAGTATCCTTACAAATTTATCACCATCCTTTCAACGAACGAATAAACGACGATATTCTCTCGAGACAACCAATATCCAGAAATTATCATTCCCTATATGTGTATATATATATATATCGATCACCAACACTGTTCAACAACGATGGCGAGTCCCAAATCAAACGTTGCCAATTTTCAAGACAATTTTCTATCCATCTCTCCCCAATTTCGATTTCCAACATTGATCTTAAACTTGAAATTAAAATTCTCATCCCTCTTACACGTCCATCTCACGCACAAGATAATGATCTCTCGTTGAAACGTACGAAACCCCTCCTCCCCTCCCCTCGATACTCACCACCGTGACGAAGAAGACTCTTGAGAGAGAGAGAGAGAGAGAGAGAGAGAGAGGGGAGGGAAGGATAGAGAGATCGGCGATTCGTCCGTTTTTACGCGGGCCTGTCGAGTCCAAGGGCCTCCTGGTGACGTCTCGCCTTCAACCTGAGATCGGCGATGCTGCTGTTCTTGGAGCGCGCCGCGGCCGCGGCCAACGAGGCCGCGAGGCTGAGGGGGTGGGGGGGATGGTGGCTGGCGGCGGGTGGCGGGGGCGGTGGGGGCGGGAGGCAGAAGAGGCCGCCGGCAGCCGCGTAATGGAGGACGGCCGGATCGAAGGCAGAGGCTGGTGCGGTCGTTATGTTGCCACCTGCACCCTGGATCGGGGGGTGCAACCTCAACGCGGGAAGGTAGGGCGCCACTCGACACGGTTCCAACGTAGCCGGGGGGCTGCGAGGCGCCAGCACCATTCCACCTGCAACGCCTTCCATTCCAACCAACGTGTGGGTTATTTCGTGTGTTGTGGTAGTGTAATGTGGTAATAATGTAGTGTATGTGCGTGTTGTAATGTAAACGATTGTTTATTTCATTTTTTTTTTTTTTTTTTTAGTATTATTTAATCAGTTATTATTTAGTCAGGCATGAGAATGTTTCTTGTGAGGAGAGAAGAAATCTATGAGTTTTCTTTCGAAAACTAAGCTAAGCTGGATTTCTATTTTTCTTTTTTAATAAAAGGTTGTTATATTTATATGATATTATATATCGTGTTATCGTTGTCGTCTATGTTAAACGACAATAATTAGAATTTTTCGCTTTTAAAATTTTGTTATTATTATTATTAGTTTCTTCTAGAGGAAAATAATTATTGTGATATTTGTTTGGATAGGAAAGTGGATGAAAAACGAATGGTCGGGTTCGTTTTACCTTTGTGCAATTGGCTCTCGTGCTTGCGACACTTGGCACGCCTGTTCTGGAACCAAACTTGAACCCTCGCCTCGCTTAAACCGAGTCTCTGGCTAAGTTCTTCCCTCATGAACGCGTCGGGATAATGAGTCTCGTCGAACAATCTTTCCAATTCGGCCAATTGTTCCAAAGTGAAATTCGTTCGAGATCTTCTCTGTTTCCCGTTCCCGTTGCCGCTGTTCCGGCAATTCGACCCTGGAGAAAAAATATATTTTCAAAACTGTGGGTGATTCTAGAGAGGAAAGTTAGAAAGAAAATTAATCGATCGAGTTTTCTCGAGTAATAATTTTTCTAATTCTACCTCCTCTTTTTCGTTCCAGGGATTTTTACGAGGATCTTTAAATCGCGGGAGCGGTCAAGAGGAAATTCGAAATTTAATCACCGCATAATCGTTCACAGGTCATTTCTTCAGGCCCGGCGACATCAACATAAATTCCTTCCTTTTTACGAGGATCTTATTCAAATTACGCGGCGAGAAGAAGTTTCGATTAGTCGAAATCAGAGAGACGTCTCGTCGGAATACGATTTACATCTCTCTTCGCGAAAAACATTGAAAAACTCTTCTTCCTCCTTGGTGGAATTAACATAATTACTCCAATTTTGGATTTTTGGATTAAAAAAAACGAGGAATTTTCCGTATTTTATCGCCAAACCCGTTCTATTTTATAATTTAAAAAAACCTTTGTGCGATTATTTGATCGAGTCGATTTTTGAAATATTCAAAAATTTAGGAAAAATCAATACCACAGTTTATGCCATAGAAAATGAAAAATTTCACGTGGACCAGATCGACATGCAAAAATTTGATCGAGTTAAAATTTTCGAAATATTCAAAAATTTAAGAAAAACCATCATCACAATTTATGCCATAGAAAATGAAAAATTTCACGTGGACCAAATCGATATGCAAAAATTTGATCGAGTTAAAATTTTCGAAATATTCAAAAATTTAAGAAAAACCATCACCACAGTTTACACCATGGAATATTGATTAACAAGATGAAGAATTTTCTATTTCACGTATTCAGATCAATCGTGCGATAATTCGATCGATTTTACGATTTTTGAAATATTCAAAAATTCAGAATACAAAAATTCAAAATAAAAATTCAGAATGGAATATGATTAACACACCACGAGAGGATGAAGAATTTCCTAATTTCGGATCGGCGGTCGGTATCCTCCTCATAATTACTCCGCTAACAAATACTTACAAACCCAACAGTCTCTTAGGAAAGGTCCAATTATCCCCCACCCCAACCCCCTACCCCCCGTCAACTAATTTCTCCTGTCCATCCCAGATCTTAAAAACTGTTCGAGAAGCCTCGAAAGGAGCCGCAACTTGCTAGCCTCCGCTGTTTGGAAGAAGGGGGAGGGGAGGGGAGGCTGCGGGATAATTAACGGGCGTACGATTTAATTAACGGCTGCTTAATGCAAAGTAACTACCTAGAAGTACTCGCGAAGGTGTTTCCAATGGGGTGTTTCCTTGCGGGGGTGGTCCGTGGCCTTGGTCACGAGCAGGGACTGAGAGGGGGGAGTGGAGAGAGGGTTTGGAGGGGTGGATTAAGCGCCTCGCGTAACAGCCCTTGACGAAGGGGACGTGATTTATATAATTTAGCAAAGTGGTGAGCAGCTACGCAGCCTTGTACAGGGTCGTTAGTTACCCTTCCGTCCCCTCCTTCTGTTTAGTCTCTCTCTGTCTTTCTGATCGCATCTCTCTCTCTCTCTCTCTCGTCTTTCTACCGTCTGTCCGCCAAGATTTCCTATCTTTCTGATAAGATGGATCTTACACTTACGTGTAATCGTTTGTAATGATAATTAAGATAATTGAGAGAATTAAGAGGAATCGTTTCGTGATGATAATCTTTCGAATTGATTAATAAATTTCCACATATTCTGTAAATAAATAGATGGAATAAATTTCTAAGGATTATTTGTATGTACAGAGAATGAAATAATATTTCTAGGAGAATATTTTTGATCGTGATTGAAATCTTAGAAACGAAATTACCATTCGATTAACGATACTTTAACACCGATAACTTTATACCAACTCGATTACAATCGGTTACCAATCCATTCTCCCCCCTTCTCCCCCCCCCCCCCCCTCAATGACCGACATCCTCCTCTCGTTATCCGCGTGAAATGTATGTGAAATCTCGTTGGTCGATTTTCGTTTCGCGCTCGGAGATTTTGGGACGAGATAAAAGTGAAGAACGAAATTGCAGAAGAGAGGGGGGTGAAAAAATAAGGGGAAAAACGAGGTCTCGATTAAAACTCGAGGAGAAGTTGCAAGGATCACGATGAAGTATCGCGCTTTAATCAATTAGCGCGTAGCTACGGTAATCCAATCGGAGGCATGGCAGAGCGGATCCCCCCCCTCCCCCATATGTATATCCATATGTACAGCGGTTTAAAACCCCCTCCTGGTAAAATAACTCGCGCGGTTTCCGTTCTCGTTCCAATCATCCGCCCCTTCATCGTCAAACTACCCCCGCCGCTCCCTTTCACCCCCACCACCCGTCTGGATTTCTCCCGTTGTCGATCGTTTTGACGATATCTGCCGCCACTCGATATCTGCCCGTTATATCCATGCTTTGCGATCTCATGACCGATTTCTCCCCTTCTTTTTTTTTTTCTTTTTTGGAATTTTTCGAATATTTTCTTTTTTTTTAAATCTCCATTTTACGAAAGTTATTCCTTGGAAATCTGGATCATTCTATTTTACAGAATGTAGATATATTTTGGGATATATACGTACCCACGAATGTTATCGAAACTTTTGATTTCTTTTTTTTTTTAATAAAAATCCAAACACGAATTCGAAGTAATAATACAGTGAGATTGTTAAGTCTTGTCCAAACTAGTCATCAGAATTCCCCTTTCGAAGATTTTTCAAGCACGTTCTACGTTTCAACTAATAAAATCAGCAATGCAAGAGCATATCCTTTTACTCGTTATCTCGAGTAAAAAAAGTAAATATGGAAGAGCGGACATGGACGAGCAAACGAGTAATAGGCGCGAACTCGCGTGTCGCGACGGTCGGAAGGATAAAGCGGGAGATAGAATGGGGAGGGGAGGAAGAGAGAAGGAGCGAGCGATAGTGGAAAAGGCGAAGCAATCACACTCGGACACGAGGGGCCGCTAATTCGATTACTAAGAGCGCTGCCCTCTTGGCCTGATCCGCCGGTCGAACCGCCCTAGCACCGGCCTCCGCTTTTCTCTCCCTTTCCAAACGAGTCGAGATATCGCGGCCATCAGGCGTATAAAAGCGTCGGGACAACCATGGTTACAAACAACCTCTTCCCTCGGTTTTTTTGTCGCGTGCGCGTTCTAACTACATATGCCACGTCCATGTTTTCGTGAATTACTTGGAGGCGAGGGAGGATGGAAGAGGCGAGAAAGTGGTGCGTGGATGGAGATCCTTGGAATTTGAAATGAAGATCGAGGTTATGTGTGCAGCTACGAATAAATGTTGTTCGAGGATTTTAATAAGTGATTTAGCTTAGAGAGTAACTTTATTCGAAATTATTAAATACTGCGTTCGATAATGTTTCGTTACTTTATCCTCAAATTTTATATACTCTAAATTTTGGATTATTCTTCCCCTCTTTTTATCGTATTTCATTATCCCTTTCTTGCTTGAATTAACATGAAATGCGAATAAAATATATTCAATGTTTTTATTAATCGATTATAAATCTTATTATCTCTTAATTTTCCAAATTTCAAAATCGATCGAAATGGAATTATTTGTGAAGAAAATATCCAAGAATACAATAAAATTTGACATCTGAATGAAACGTCAAATCTATGAAGATGTGATTATAATGAATTAATGCCACATCTAATATTCTAATAATTAAACACATCGAGACTAAAAAATTTGAAAGTGCACTATTTTTTATAAATATACCAATCAAATCTGAAACTACTAATACAGCCTAAAGAAAGCAGTTAAAAATACCGTCTATTTCTTACTTCGAGTCAAATTTGCACGATTCAAATTTCACTCAAATTCCATCCATCCGAATCAATCGTTTATGTTTTCCACCCAAAACCTGTCCAGAAGAAGATTCACGAGGAAGCGAGCCGAGGATTGGCCTGATAGATAAATATGGGGAGAAGAATTCGAGGTGGGTCAAAAACTTACGGGGTCGTAAACTTACGAAAGAGAGGGAGGGAAGGGGGACTTTGACCAGGGGGCGGTCAAATACGAGCGGGTGGCGGTAAACGCCGATGGCCATTTGGGAGAGACGCGTCGTGTGCGCGAGCAAAGTGTTGCCGAACGAGGAGGAGAGTGTTGCACGGTGATCTACCGCGACTACTCTCTTTCTGCGACGATATTTGTTATGTCGCGTCGTTCCTCCACGGCTGCAGGCCGTGAAATATCGCGGCCATCCCTTCGTGACTGTCCACGGACGTCTCGCGAAATCGTCCAATTGGATCGATTGGATCGAATCGTTTCACTCCTGGACGAAATTGGAAGGAACTCGGGGAAATATTAACACGTTGCGTACGCCACTCTGCTCGCTCAACGCGCTTCCAACACGTATTTTTGAGCGTTCTAAAAAAAGTATATAGCATGCATATATATATATGCACTTTTTAACTCACATTTATAATGTATTCTTAAATATTATTCTATATTTCTTATACATCTATTTATTGTGTATAGACTTTTTTACATTTTAACTATTATTTATTATATAAGTAAAATTAAATCGATTAATTATTTTTTACTTTACAAACTTGAATAATATTTCAGAGTATGATATCTGGTAAAATTCTTTTTTTGTACTAAGCATATATATATATATGCACTTTTTAACTCACATTTATGTATTAATGTATTTTTAAATATTATTGTATATTTCTTATATATCTATTTATTGTGTAGGTTTTTTTACATTTTAACTATTATTTATTATATAAGTAAAATTAAATTGATTAATTATTCTTTACTTTATGAAACTTGAATAATATTTCAGAGTATGATATTTTGAAATATTCTTTTTTTATACTATGCATATATATATACATATTTTTTAACTCACATCTATAATGTATTCTTAAATATTATTGTATATTTCATATACATCTATTTATTGTGTAGATTTTTTTAAATATTAACTATTATTTATTATATAAGTAAAATTAAAATTAATTATTCTTTACTTTACAACTTGAATAATGTTCCAGAGTATGATATCTTGAAATATTCTTTTTTTGTACTATGCATATATATATATATACATATTTTTTAACTCACATCTATAATGTATTCTTAAATATTATTCTATATTTCTTATACATCTATTTATTGTGTATAGGCTTTTTTACATTTTAACTATTATTTATTATATAAGTAAAATTAAATTGATTAATTATTCTTTACTTTACAAACTTGAATAATGTTTCAGACTATGATATCTGGTAAAACATTCTTTTTTTGTACTAAGCGTATATATATATGCACTTTTTAACTCACATTTATAATGTATTCTTAAATATTATTCTTATACATCTATTATATTTCTTATACATCTATTTATTGTGTATAGGCTTTTTTAACTATTATTTTAACTATTATTTATTATATAAGTAAAATTAATTGTACTTTACTTTACAAACTTGAATAATATTTAAGAGTATGATATCTGAAGCATTCTTTTTTTGTACAATGGCATAATTTGCAATTGTATCTGTTTCCTTTTTCAATTCGACGAACAGACTTTACATTTTTGTATCGGGAATTTCCTCTTGCTTCTTTTATTGCTTCGAGTGTCTTTAATTCCTCGATTAATTCATCGATCGAGTCGAAAAAACATTAAAAAGTGACATCTCGTGATGCAATATATTAACGGAGCGTTGTTGTTTCTTCTCCTCCTATTCTCTGCGAATAAACGTCTTTTTACACAAGAAATAACGTAAAGAGATAACGATTTTGGACAAATATTTTATCAGGAAAATTATCCAATTTGTAGGATTTAAAATCGTGACTCTTAGATATTTTCCTTTTTCTTTTTCTTTTTAGATACCCTGCAAAATTCTCAAAAATCAAACTTATAATTTTCCAAACCCTTTCAATATCCCAACCTTCCCTTCTCCCACAACGGCCCGCAAAAAAAGCCTGAAAGAAAGCGAGGGAGGGGGGGGGAGAGAAATCGAAGCTTCAAAGCTCGTAATTCACGAAAAAAAACGTGGAGAGCCCGGTGACAGAGATGGAAGAATGGCGGACAATGCGCGCCAATAAAAAATGCAATCGACAAAGCGTTACATAGAGGGCGGTTAAATTGGATGGAAGGTCTCGGATGGAAAATCGAGTTTGAAAAAAAACAAAAAAAACTGACGCGTTCAAAGGTAACCAGAATGCCATGGTTGGTTCCTCGCCACGATAACTCTGGCGTCTATTGCGGCCGGAAACTCGCATGAATTTATGGTTTAATATGCGGCCCGCCGCGTTAGTTGTGTACGCCCCCTAACACGCTCGCCTCCGCTGGATGGAGAAAAAGGGAAAGAGGAACAGAGAGAGAGAGAGAGAGAGGTTCCATTCTCTCGGGGGTCCATAACTTTTCCCGATTAAGCGCAAATCAAAAAGCAATCTGCTCGGCCGGCAGCCATCGGACGCGGCCAAGTAGAACCATAAATAACGGCCGAGTTTGAAGAAGCGGCGAAGAAGCGGGTGGAAAACTCGTTCGAATCGTTTTGGTTTTTCCGAGAGAGAGAGAGAGAGAAAAGGAAGGGTATCTTTCTTGCGAAGCTTCCTTTCATTATTTATTTCATTCTTTTATAGTCCGGTTTTGGTGTTGAGTATCGTGTAACTGGAGATTGAAGATTGATTAATTATTGGTGATTACAAGTTGGTTATATTGATATTGTGAAGTGGAGAGAAGAGGATGTGTAAGGCATATATGTGCGAGGTTGGTAAAGGAATGAAAAAATGAAGTTATTGACGTTCAAGTGGATGTTGTTGAATTGGAGATTGAAGAGGAGGTTCAAAGTGAGAGAATTATAAATTGAAATTGAATATTTTTATCATTGAATATTGGATATTGGAGTGGAATTGTGTTATTATGAAACGTAGATTGGAGAGAAAATAAGTATGAAATTGTTATTCTTGTCATTATGTAAATTGAAGTATTGAAGCAATAGTGCTCATATTATAGAGTGGATATTGAAGATTGAACAGAAAGTGTATGCAATAAGTTGGCATCCAAATGGATATTGCAAATTGAAGATGAAGTTGAAATATAATGGAATAAATTAAAATTGATATTACCATTGTTGTGTATACAACAAGTGAATATTATGAGATTGAGAAGGAGAAATACGTGATAACTTAAAGTTGATATTCTTGGATAATATTTGGAAGGAATTTTTATGGAGAATATCTCTTATTACTTGGAAGAAATGCAATTTTTGGTGAAGCCAAAAGGAGAAAATTTGAATTGAGAAATCTAACTGACTGAAGTAATGTTGAATTTTTCTGAAATATTTGGATGGAGAATCGATCGAGACGGAAAGTCGTGACAAAGGAGGATGACAGGCAGGAAGAAGAAAAGTGCAAGTGGTGGTCGGTGAACGGTCGTTATTGAAGTCGACTTGGCATCTGGGTAAAATTGGAGGTCGGTGATCGTTACGTTGTGAACGGTCAGCTATTCCCAATCACTTCTGAGCTTTATTGGACGACGTGTTGAATTATAAACGAAGATCGAACCCTCCGACGATACGTGCCCGAGGTTCCTGACCTTCTTACCATCGAAACACAGAACGAATATCATCTTTAAAACCTCTCGTAACACCAATCGTATCATTCTAGGTATAAAATATTCAAAAATATAATATTCCATATACTCGAAAAAATTATAACAAATATTCTTCCTTTTCTAGCAATTAGATAAACAATTTCTACACTTGGAACTTAATATTCTCATCAATTAATTTAAGATATTTTATCTTGGTATAGTCAACACAAAAATATCTAAAATAATTAGAATCCAATTATTTTCCTCTTACAAATATTTTCTTTAAAATCTCTCGTATCATAAAATATTCTAAAATATAACATTCCATAGAATTGCATTTGCAACTTGATATTCTTAAGTCAACTCAAACAAACAAACAAACAAAATATCTAAAATAATTATATAATCCTCCAATCATTTTCCTTTTATAAATATTTAAAATCTCTCGTATCATAAAATATTCTAAAATATAACATTCCATAGAATTGCATTTGCAACTTAATGTTCTAAGTTAGTCAACACAAATAAACAAACAAACAAAATATCTAAAATAATTATATAATCCTCCAATCATTTTCCTTTTATAAATATTTACTTTAAAACTCTCGTATCATAAAATATTCTAAAATATAATATTCCATGCTCGAATTGCATTTGCAACTCGATATTCTCATCAATTAATTTAAAATATTTTATCTTGATATAATCAACGTGAACAAACAAACAAAAAATATTTAAAATAACTAAAATCTTCCAATCATTTTTTCTCTTATTAATACTTTGTTCAAAATCTCTCGTAATATCAATTGTATCATTGTAGATACAAAATATTCCAAAATATAATATTCCATGTGCTCCAAAAATATTCTAGCAACTAGAAAAATAATTATTAATATATTTTTCTATGCTTAATTTGCAATACTCGATGTACTTAAGATAATTTACTTTGAAATAATCAACACAAACAAACAAACAAAAAATAATTAAAATAATTAGAATCCTCCAATCATTTTCCTTTTACTTTCTTTAAAACTTCTGGTATCATTGCAGATATAAAATATTCTAAAATATAATATTCCATACTCGAAATTGCATTTGCAACTCGATATTCTTACTTTCTTTAAAACCTCTAGTATCATTCTAGATATAAAATATTCCAAAATATAATAGTTCCAAAGTACTTCAAAAATAATTCACAAATATTCTTCCTAACAATTAGAAAAATAATTATCAATATGTTATTCCCTTACCTTTGCCACCTTCTTCCTGCATCAACGACTTCGAAACCTGTGACTGTATCTTCAAATCCGAGGATTTCGCGTCGTTGGAAGCGTGATTCTTCAATTCGATGCAAGTTTCAGGACTGGCCGACCGATCTCTGGAGATGGGTGGGGGCGATGGGCTGCATCCCAACAATTTCCTCACGGACAGCTTTAATTCGGGCGTCTTGAGGGGCGGCAGGGCGTCGGTTGTGTTAATCGCGTCCTTCGCCTCCTTGCTCTTGGTCGTGACCGAGAGGTCTTCCGGTTGGAGGCGGCCTTCCGGCGACGGCGGCTCGTCCACGCTGCTCCCCTCGACGCTCGACGGATCCTGGACGGATTCGCGTGTCGCAGCGCCGACATCTGGACAACCATTGCCGGAAATCAGTTTCTCTACGCCGCTTTCTCTCGAAAAGCGTCTTTCGAAAGAAGAAATTTCTGTTGGAATGAAACGACGGAGGGGAAGGAAATTCGGACGACACATTCGCCTCGCGAATGGCGAAGAGAAAGGAAAGCGAAAATTGTGAATTTGAAGAAGAAATGATTTTTGAAGATTCGAGAAAAGAATTTGCAGATTGGATTCGAAGAAGTTATTCGGATCTTTGAAGTACTTATTATTAGTCGTTTCGACGTTTAAGTGGTTGGATACGAGAGAGCATTCGAAAAGAAGTAGCATAAGTCGAAGCGTCAAATTTTAAAGAGTTTGCTTTCAAACTCTTGAGGATTCAGGATTCCAACTGTTTGTTTGACAATCATTTTAGAGGTAGAAGAGGCACGTTCGCGATATTCTTGGAGACAAATAGTGGGAAGCGAATCGTGCATGAGGATCAATTGATTACTGAACTCACTGAATAGGAAAAACGATCGTATCGGAGAGATCTGTTGGAACTTTTTTCGCGAAGACAAGAACTGCACGAAATACTTCCTTCGTTTCTTTTCTTTTTTAGATTCTTTCTTTAGTTGCACACCAATCGATCGACGATTGACAAAGAAAAAAAATGGAATTGATTTCTTTTGTGGAACAACAACAATACGCTTGATAAAACTTCATATATATATATGCAAACTCTGACAATACAAGTTATCGTAATTTTGTCGAACGACCATCAGAGCTGTCGTCTCGATGCCATCGATATTACGAATACTCGATTATATTTCGTTTGAAGAGTAAAAAAGTGTTTCAATTTATTTCTCTTGCTAACCAAAATCCCCCAACTTTGTCGTTCAAGAAGACTTCATGTATATATTCATGTACCACCTACTTCCAAAACCTTCACGTTCCTTCGATCATCTTCCACCATCGCGGAACAACCACATCCACCCACGCAATCTTTGTGTTTCGCACTTTCGATCGATCATCCACCCACCCACACTAAACACACTAAACCGAGTCACCACGTGACGAAGAACCGTTTCGAAACCAAGAAATCACCAACGAAGACCAACATGTAATCTCGAAGAGAGGAGGAGACTCGAAGATCGAGAGGTCTCGAAAAGAGGAGAAGAAAAAAAAAAAAAAAAGAAAAAGAAAAAAAAACTCTCTCGAAAATGATATATATGAAAACGTACTCGATTCGTTCTCCGCAGGATCCCCGAGCAAATGCGCGACACTCAGGGTGATCCTCGCGGAGGGTGGCCGTTCGGTGGTTGTCCTGCATGCCGCGTGTTCGCCAGCCGCGTTGTCGAAGCTCTTGGAGACGAACTGGGCGAGCTGCTCCATCCTCGCGGAGAAGACTCGCGCGACGACGCGGCACTCGCGTCGACCTCGTCGCCGAGGACGGAGAGCACCTCGAGGGGGTGCACGGTGGTGGTTCTAGGTGGTAGCCTTGGCGCTCGGCGTCGCGACGCCACGCGTCCCTCAGGACGCCATTCGGACGCCGGCCAATCCGCGCCCTCGTAGGCGTTTCCGCTACGCCCTCGCCTCTTCCTCCCCCTCCCGTTTCCACCACCGTCTACCTCCACCCCCAACCCCGGCTCAAACCCCCACCGCCCCTAAACCGACCCTCATTAGCATTTGCGCCCGCTTTTCCACCCGCGAAGCGCAAACTACCCACCTACCGATAGCCCTGCTCGCTGCTATGTTGCCTCTCGCTTCTCCGTCTCTCTCTTCGCTTCCCAAACTAACACCTTACTTGTCGCCGTGTCTCTCTCTTTCTCGCTCTCTCTTTCTTGTCTCCGCGCTTCTCTCTTTGTTTCGCGAACTAACACCTAGCGATAGCCCAATTCCATCCACTGGCCACCGTTTCAACGTGTCTCTCCTTGTTTCGCAAACCGACGCTTGGTTTTCTACGTTGGCCATCGTTTGGATGCGTCGTCTGCGTCTCTCTTCCGTTTACGCGTTTCTCTGTCTTTTGCGAACTACCATCTAGCGATGTAGTCTTACTTGTGTTGGCCACCGTTTCAATGCATCTCTGTGCGTCTCTCTTTCTCTCTTTGTTTCGCTAACACCTATAGCGATAGTCCAATTCCCTGGTCGCCGTTTCGATGCGTCTCTCTTATGTTTATGCGTTTCTCTGTCTTTTGCTATCTACCACCAACCAATAGCTCGGGTCAATCTTTTGTATCTATGCGTTTCTTTCTTTGTTTTGTAACTAACATCCAATGTAGCCCAAGTGTGATCACGTGCTTATGTTTCTCTCATGTATTTCTTTGTCTTTTGGAAAGTAATATATCGTATAGGTATCCTTGTATTGAGCGTTTGAATGCGTTGCTCTTTATTTCACCAACTATCATTCAGCGATAAACCTGATTCCCTATGTGTGTCTCTTTTGCATCTACGTGTCTTCTGTCTCTCTTCGTTTCATTCACGGTACACATTGACAGGTAGACATCACGAACAATCCTCATTTCGGCAATCACTCACTCGGTGGCGTTGGGGTGTTGTGTACTGTGTGGTGGACACACGTCCCTCGTGGATGATAGGTTAGGTGAGAATGATGCTCGTTCACGATCCCTGTCGATCATATTCATGTCGTAGTTAGTAGATGGGGTACGATGATCGGTTTTAAATGATTTAGTACTGTTGATCGTCACTTCCGTGGATATTTCGAAGAGGAGATGATGTAGGATTTAAAAGATTTTTGAAGTTGGATAAAATTGGATTAAATTTTGTGTAAACTTTTGTAGATAGATAGATGTTGCAGATAGATGTTGATGGAATTTTTATTTACAATTAATTTACATTATTGAATTCTATTTTTTAACAGTGTCGTCATGATTTTGCAAATTTTACAATTTTATAATAATTTTATAAGGAATAAGAAAAGAAATAATATATAATCTTCTTTCATTTAAAATTCGCAGTAACTTAATTTAGATTCATTTTCTTTCTTTTTTCTTCAAGCCATCGCAAATCGAAACCACTTTCAATTTCACCCTCCATTGTCGAATTTTTTTCTTCTTTCTCCCTTAGAAAAAAATCCTCGATACGAAATTGAAATTCAAGAAGCGACGGAATCGAATCTTGAGGAAGGGGATGGCCACCAGTTTGGAGAGTCGAAAATATTTGCGTGGCAACGTTTTACATCGAAATGGACGCGTAACTGGCCTTTTGACAGGCCAGCCGCGTTCGAATTGCGAGGCCGGGACGCGGCGTGTCTCGTGTTTGCCGCTACCAAACTCGGCAATATTTAAATGGGATTGCGTTCGGCAATGTAATTGGTTGGGCAAACACGGCCCGTGAAACGTTGGGACGGATATGGATAGACAGTAACGACGGGGATTGGAAAACTGAAAGGGAACGATGTAAATCCACCTTGGTTGAGAAATCTAGAAGAAAGGACGATGATGAAAAGGAGATGGGCGCGAAAGAGAAGAAAATAATCTAGACTATTGTTTGATCAAATATGAGAAATAAAGAAACGAGAGAGATAAAAATTTGAAAATTTCAAATAACTCAAAAAATTAAATTAATAAATTTCAGAATTAAATAACTCGTCTTGATTAACTCGATTTAGAAAGAAAAGTATAAAAAGAGAACAAAGAGATTACATCGACAATTTACCTTTCGAAAACTCTTTTACAAACAATCGATCAAATCGTGACACGGTATGGATCACGGTATCCCGATGATCAAAATACAAAAGCCAAAGGTATCCAGGTAGGCAAGTATCCTTGAAAGAAGCTTGGAAAAAAAGAGATCGACGACGAAGATAGAAGCAGACGGGAAGGAGACGGATGCTGAATGATGCTTCCGTTACCGTTGAACGAGAGAGAGAGAGAGAGAGAGAGAGAGAGAGAGAGAGAGAGAGAGAGGAACGAGCGACAAAGGTAACGAACAAGGAAAGGAGATGTTCGAACGGGGAAGAGAATTAACGCTCGTGTAACAAAGATAACGCGAGGCGGGATTGGCGCGGGGAGAGAGAGAGATGTATACATATATACAACGATGGAAACGGTAGTAGAGGGAGAAACGGTCTATAACGCAGGCAGACGGAGCCAATCAGGGCGCAATGCGATTACCTTAACGAGAAATCCGATTACTTATTCATTCGCCTAACTCGAAATCAGTTTAACTAATCGTTTAATTCGGTAGCAACCCCTACCTGCCTATCCCTCCTCCACCAACGTTTTCGAGGCAGACACGGGCCGAATACTCCTCTCTCTCTCTCTCTCTGTACGCATCGCGTATACTGTAACTCTATCCTCGTCCATCCTCGCGTCTCAACCTGCATGGATGCTCGTTGGGTGTGGTGGCCATGGGACGGATGGATCTCTCCCTCCTCTCTCTCTCTCTCTCTCTCTCTCTTCTGCCTGGCCAAATAGACCCGCACACGCGCAACCACGGTCGTTTCTACACTACACGTGCCGTGCCCGTTATCCCTTGGCTAGACAAGGAGGGATGCGCAAGCAAGGTGGGGAAATGGAGAAAGCAGAAAGGAGAGAGAGAGAGAGAGAGAGGGGCCTCATTCAATTCAATTACGTAATGAATTGTCGTGTCTTGAGTAAACACCCTTCCTCACCGCGACTCGCCGCCGGAAAATCGCCGGTTGGGGGATATACCCTCCTCGCGCGGAGGAGGGGATGGAGTGGCGGTGGGCTGCGTGCAACGTCTACAGCGTCGTTCAGCCGCGGGGGTGATACGTTAGGAAGAGGTGGTTAGTTAGAGGTGGTGGACCGATTTTAGCTGATGGTCAAGGGTTGATCGTTGCGTTTTTATGGTGTTGGCCATGGTTTTGGGTGTTGATTCGACGATCGGTTCCACCGTTTCGTTCTTTTCGAACATATCTGATCACCTTTGTCGTCGTCTCTTTTTCAGTTTGTTATAATTATTAATGCTGTTTCATTCGATTTAATATTCGAAGTATATATGGTTATGGTTTATAACATTAGAGAATAACGTTGTGTGAAATTTCGTTAAAAAAGAGAGAACGGTTCTTGATGATAATCAAGATAGATCTATCTTTGTCTTTTTCAGTTTTGTATTAAGATTTTGTAATTTTATTATACAAGTTATTCGAAGTATGTATGGTCGTCTTAACATTAAGAATAATGTTATGTTAAAACTTAAAGTGAGAATGGTTGATTATTAAATTTTTATTGATCGAGGGTTTGATTAAGGTTGACAAATAATATCATATAAACGTTCGATTCGCATCTTTCGTTATTTTTCAGTTTTATATTAAGAATAATATAAAATTTCAATTTTAAAAAGTGAGTCCGATTCTCAATAATAAAATTGATTAAGTTTTTATTAAGTTGATCGATGTTTCGAATATTTGATATAGTTTCATTAATTTCCAAGTATAAATTTCTAATTGAATTTACATAAAAATATCTGTTTCTATTTTCCTACACGAATAAATTAATTTACATATTTAAGTTATAATTTCTTAAAAAAAAAAAAAAAAAAAAAAATAATCAATAACCACACACGTAAGAAATAAACACGCATCTTTATTATAAACGAAAAACTTTATTATAAACGATTATTATTATTATTATTATTAATGATCGATAATGGCCCGATAATTTGTGAAAGTTTGACGGATCTCGTGATTTTGGCGCGAAAATCACACTTCTCTCTCTCTCTCTCTCAATAAACGATAAACCATGGAATCATGGAATACAGTGCGAATACAGTGTGTGTGCAACTCACACACCACTTATGAGGCATACTGTAAGCAAAACCAGAGAATTCGGTTTAAACCGAATCAATCTGAAACGCTTCGAAATCTCTTCTTCGTGTCTTCTCCAAGTTTCCAACCTCCTCTTCGCCTCCCCCATGCGCTCACTTCCCGCCGCTCGTTTTCCACGGGCAGGAGAGCATCCATAGCGTGGATCGCGCGCGATATCGACGTTTCCGGAACGTTTCTCGTTTCATCGGTTCGCTCAGACAGGCTGAGTATCGGTAATTCCGATGCTTCCTCCTGAAATTAACAGTGGCTGAGGTTAGTCGAAGGTTTGAACAGGAGGAGGCCGGAAACGGTGGGTGATCAAAGGAAATCGAATAGCGGGGAACTTGGTTCGAATCGTTCCTCTCTGTCTCTCTCTCTCTCTTTCTCTTTCTCTCTCTCTCTTTCCACGATCGTTTCTAATTCGTTGAATTAGAATTAACATGGGAGGAATTTTAATTTAATGAAATTTTAAGTAATCGAGGGAGGATCGAGTTTGAATAATAATCGAATCGATCGAATTGATTATTGATCGACTAATGATAAGTATTAATAGATGATAAGGGAAAAGATCGAAATTGGGGTGAGGAGGAGGAGAAGGAGGAAG